CTCCCCGGGGCTGCGTTTTGCCCCGGTGAGGAACTGGGGGGTCTCCCCGGTACCTGTGACTTTTTCTGAGCAGCAGCACTTTGTGGAGGGTTTGGGGAGCGCCCGGCTCCAGGGAAGCAGGAAGGTTTTGGCGTGTAGCTTCAGGGCAGCGGGGACGCACAGGGAGGAGAGGGGGGAAAGTGTCCTCGTTAAATAAAAGTGGTTCAGAGCCCTGCTCCATCACTTTGTTCTGTGCATGATCCCCTTCCACACCAAGGGGGGGGTTATCTGGGGCTGGTTTGGGATGTCCCAGGCCTGGGTGAGGGGGGGTGTGAGGGCTCACTTTGGGGGTGTGGAGACTCAGAAGCTTGAGCAGCAGCTCACGGCGGTGTCGAGGAGCTGGAGGGCAGGTGGGTTCCTCTCTGGGATGCCCATCGTCCATCCCTCCCCAGGATGCCCATTGTCCATCCCTCCCTGGGATGCCCATCATCCCTCCCCAGGATGCCCATCATCCCTCCCCTAACCCCATGTCCCCAGGCGGGGTTGTGGTTTCTCTGTCGTAGCTCAATCTTCTCTCAAAAATCGATTCCTCCAACTGCTAATGTTGCATTTGTGTTATTCAGATGGCTACCTGTCCTGCTGTAATTATGTTAATTCGGTATTTATGATGATCCCGCACCCTAATAAGAGCAGTAATTGAGAGACTACAAAGCGACCTCACAGTGCAAGCATGCAAGCAAACAGTCATTTTAATGAAAGACCCATTTCCCCTCAACCACACGCATTAACTGGATATATCTGCCTCAAGTGACCATTTAGGACAAAAAAATTGATGATGACCAAAATCCCCATCTGCTTCATGTCCTTGGAGGAGGCAGAGCAAATACTTCTCTCCCACTATTTAGCTGAGCCTTGCAAGGTATAGTCATGTTCCTGACAGTTCTCACGCAATATTTACTCCCGGTGTCAAATGCATCCTGGTTTTGAAGGAAGAAACTCAGACAAATCTACCTTGGGGCTTGCTGGAGATGACGTGGTTGGGTTGGCTCCGGCTGTTTGACCGGCCAGGCTCTTCTGGCTGGAGAAAAGGGCAGACCTGTATTTGGGGTTGTACCTGGGGGACCTGCAAGCACTGAGCACTGTGCCTCTCGTTGGGATTTTCTAAGGAGAAAGAAATGAAATGAGGGTTGGTCCGCGTCTTGGTTTCATGTTACTGGCCTGCTATTGACTTGGAGATGGCTCACGTGGGAGCACAGAGTCAACAGCAGCCAGCCTGCGCTGTGGCTTTCACCGGACCTGTTTCACCACAGCAGGATGAAGATTAGGTGAGATAACAGCTCTGCAAAACCTTGCTGTTGTCCCCCCTGGCCCAGGGTCTCCTCCACCATATGGATCCACTCAGGACAGACGGACTAGGCATGGCCAGGCTAGGAGTGTGCAGCAGCATGAGCCGTGGGCGCTCAGTGTGTGCCCAGGCTGGGACAGGCCATCATCTGCCTGTGACCCCAACGAGGATTCACTCCTGGAGAGCCTCCCGGGAGAGGTCCCTGCCCCATGTATGTGTATTTAGAGCTCAGGGCAACCATGCTCTGTGGAAAGCAGCAATTAAATTAAAAAAAAAACAAACAACGGTTTTTTTATTAAGGTGCATGAATACAGACTCCATCTGAACCCCGCGATGATGCACACACACCACGGTGTCTGACCCATCCACGAGTTCATCATCAGAGGAAAGAAATCATGGAGCCACCGAGTGCGGTGGGGTTTTGCAGGCTGCTGGGGTGACCCCCCCATCCCTGCATCGTGCCTGCTCCTCGGCTGGGCCCGTGCGCGTCCTGGTGACCTTGACATGCTCATCTGGCTGTGGTAGCCCTTCTAATCAGTGTTCTGCCCTTACTGGTGTCCTACCTGCTCTGGGAGCAGACTTGGAGTCTCCAGCCAGCCACCGCTGCCTCCGGGTGAGCCAAGCTCCGGTTGCAGCCAACAAGGTTTGCGCTTGCGGCCAAACGCCAGGCCGTCCTCCCAGCAGATAAATCACTCCTTGGCATGTTTCTGGGGCCCAGGGCTGCCGTATCGCGGACCTCTCCAGAGATGGCAGCACGTCCCCAGCCAGGGCTGGGCTCTCAGCCGACCCAAGCCTGCTGGGCACAGCCACTGCAAGGAGGGGGGCTGCCAGCCTCCACCCCAAGTTCCTCCCTTGGGCAAACCCCTTTTTAATGCCCAAACACGTATGGTTTGGGGCTTCAGGAGTTACGTCAGAGCCCAGAGCCCCCTCTTATTACTGAGCTTGGAGAAAATGAAAATAAAATGAAAATAAAAATTAAAAATCCCTGCCACACACGGTTGAGTTGTAAACATTGCTAAACGGGAACCAAAAAAAGCCCAGAGGCTCGGGGCTCTCCTGCCAAACGCCAAAGACATGGGAGCTGCTGTGTGAGCCCTCCCGGATCGCATCCCTCTCCCAGGCTCCTCGCCCCGCTCAGCCATTCCCCGTGGGCCCCTCCGCGCCAGACTGCTCCCGTGCCGGCAATCCTCAAAGGGACGGACCTAACGCTTAATGGAGGCAATAAAGAGGCGCTGCTCGGCTCAAGGCTGGGACTCGCACCAACGATGCTATTTTTGGAGCTGTCGCGCCGTGCCCGCTGCCCTCCGGCACCGCCGCCTGCCCCGTCCCATGCTCACAATGTCCCTGGTGTCACCAGCATCACCTAACCCCGCATCCCGCTCCTTTCCTGGACAGAAATTGAGCACAGTGAGGGTTTTTTTTTTTTGTTTTTGTTTTTTAGCTCGTGAAATCCAAGCACAACTTTGCACAAGCTCATTTCCCGGCAAATTGTTTAGTTCTTGCAAAGAGCTATTTTTTTTTTTTTTTTTTTTTTTTTTTTT